TATTTTATTTATTGTTTTTATTTTATGCGTATGAGTATATTGCCTGCATGTATGTAAGTGCACCCATGTTGTGCAATGCCTGTGGTGATCAGAAGAGGGCACTGGATCCCCTGGAACTGGGGTAACTGACGGTTGTTAGCTGCCATGTGGGTGCTGGGAACTGAACATGGGTCCTCTATAAGAGTAGCTAGTGCTCTTAACCACTAGGTCATCTCTCCAGCCCTCCAGCGTGGTACTCCTAAGAAATGGTAAAACCATTAGGAGGCAAGGCCTGGCACAAGGTTCTTAGGTGACTGGAGGTGTGTGTCTTTGAAGGGGCTGCAAGACTGAGGGGCCTTCTGCTGCTTTCTGCCCTGACTTAAGAGGTGACAGTTTGTTGTACCACAAACTCCTTGCCATTGCCATCCAGCACCCAGAGGCCTGCTCTGACTTGGGCTGGAAGCTGCACAACTTTAAACTCAAACAAACATCTCCTTATAAATTAATAGTGTCAAATACTTTGTTATAGGTACACAAGGCTGACTAACACACAGAGCACTACGGTGGAGATACATAGCTGAATGCTTATACCCAAAACCACACACAGACACACACACACACACACACACACACACCTGCCATGGCCAGCAGAACAGAAAGCAACATCTGTCTGCTACAAACCCAGTCTTCCCCAGGCCCACTCAGGCTGACCCCTTTCTATCCCACCCCCTTAACTCCTAGTCTTTTTGCACAATGCACAGCCCTTCTCACCTTTCCCACACTTCAGAACCTGAGGATTCAACTAGAACGTGAACATATGAACATACCTGGGCTGGGGAGATGGCTCGGTAGGTAAAGCACTTGCCACACAAACATAAGAACCTGAATTCAAATTCCCAAAACTGAAGTAAAGCTGGGCTAGTAGCAGGTGTCTGTAACCCTAGCACTCCTGCAGTGAGATGGGCAGGCAGAGACAGGAGAGTCCTTGGAAGCCTGTGACCTGGGTATACAGAAGTAAAATAAATGCCCTATCTCAATCAGGGTGGAAGCTGAGGGCTGACACCTGAGCCTGTCCTCTGGTCACCACACTCACACTGAGATGCACATGCATGCACACATACATGTGCATACGTACACACTCATACGCACATCATACACACACGATTAGCAGAAAAGAAAACGTATAAACACCTTTCAAACACAGTTTCCAAAACAGCAAAGCAAACCTCTCCCTGTGTACACTGGGCCTTGGCAAGCGTTGGAGGTATGAGGCCAGAGCCCACTCTCCATAGTAACCAGCAAAGGACCTGAGACCTCAGTTTCTGTGTTTAATCAGCTTGTTTCTATGCACACACAGGCTCTACACGTGAGGCCTGGGAGGACGGTGGCTGTGCATGAATTCCAATACTGCAGGTCTCACTCTAGGACAGGTAATCCCTACACTTATAAATCTTTCTATAACATTCAAACAACAAACAACAAATTTCTCAATTTTATTTCAAGATTAAGTCTTGATTGTAGCCAAAAATCCATAAAACTGAAATGTAATCCTCCTGTGTGAGGGGAGGTACCCCACTCTTGGCATTAAGGAGGGGGACAGGATTTGCTGTGTTAATAAAATAAATGAACCCAAGGGCCTTTGGGAAATTTCCTGGAATTCAAACGGAGGCACAGTTCTACCTTTAAACTTAACATAACTGGGCCTAATTTGGCTCAGGTGAAAGACATTCAAATTGCCCTTCCACAGCAATTTAAATGGCACAAATTCGTCTTTCTGTTTTCCCCATCAACTAAGGAGAGCTGCCAGGCAGGGCTGTAGAGGTAAACCTGAAGTGACACACACAAGAAAGAACTAAGAAAAAGGGGTTCTGATGGTTTTCCCTCAGTGAAAAGAATTCAACAACCCACAGTCTACACGAGCACACTCGATGCTCCTGGGCAGTTATGAGACAAATATCCCCATGTTGAACAGTAAATCATGCAATCCTTCCAGAGCAATGTTTTAGAAGGAAAATCGTGTGGTGGGCCTCACCCCCTAGTCTGTGGATCTCAGGCAAGAAAGAACATGTTCTTAAACATAAGGCACTTGTGATCCTCAGCTACCTACGCCCCATGCAATGTCCATGGGCTCAGGAAGAGCTCCTTCTTACCTGCACAGAAATGAGCTGCTCCCACAGCAGCAAAATGCAAAAGCCTTTAGAGGTGTTCCCCTAGGAAGTCGGCCCTGAGCAGTGCGACCCACCAGCTGTCACTGCCATTAACGCAATTACCCCACCATTCCACCAAAGCTCTTAGAGCTTAAGGTTTTCATTAGGGAAAATCATGATAAATCAGTAGAGCAGGCTGGGACAGCGCTCCTGAGTCAGGACCTTTGCACTTTCCCTCTCTGCCTAAAGTTCTTTCCTATGCTGAAAACACACCTGCTCGTTCATCTGACCACCTTATTGACAACCTCAACCTCTGCGCCTCAACACCTCGACTTCCCCACAGCCAACTCTGGTCTTAGATGGCATAGACAGGAAGGTCCCCCAGAGAAAGTATCCTTAAAACAGAAACCTGCAGATGATGTGAGCATGTGACCAGGAGGCACGTCACCGGGTGCTGACAGTCTATTTCCCAACCACCACCACCACCACCCCCCTCGGTCAGCTACTGAGAGCCAGGCTCTCATCATCTGGCCTGAGTGGGCCTCTCTGGCCTTGGCTCCCTGCATCCTCTCCTCACCTTGCCATGACTAAACCACACTGCTCCTGCCACCTGGCTCCACCTGCCTGATCCTCTGCCATCTGTCACCTCCATCCCTAAGTCTCCATTCAACTGGAATTTCAAGACTTCCCTCCGTCCCTGGCCCCCCAGACACAAATCTTGGCCATCCCTTCTCACACTAGCCCCTGCTTGGAAAGCCTGAACACTACAGTCCTCAGGCACGGCTGGTGCTGCTGGATTCCTGGGGAGCCTACTCCAGTGCCTGCCAGTGCCCAATGGCCTACAGCAAACACCTGAGGGCAGCACCTCATTTTCCCCAGGGTGTGCCCATGGATTCTGCCACACTTAATCTTCCTGCAGTTTTTCAGGAAAAAGGAGGCTGTTTAACAGCAAGGAGAAGCTAAGGCCCTCTGACACAAAGATAAAAGACCCAGGGCCCTTTGCCCAAGTCCCCATGGTCATCTGATAGAGAGAAGACTCAAAGTGGAACAGTAAAGGTCCACCAGCCTCCACCTTCATAACGCAGAGGAGGAAAAAACAGAGCAAGAGAAAGCTTTGCCAGGAGTGTGTAACTCGTGGGACGCAACGCTGGACAAGAGGCAAGTGAGGGAGAAACTGAGGGAGAAGGTGATGAGAGCCACGTGTGCCGGGCTTCTCAGGCCCCCATGGCGGGATAACACTTCACAGTCACAACCCCAGGATGAGCCTGTACCTTACAGAAGGAGGAAAGTGAGGCAGAGAGCTACTAGCAGGCTCTCCATCACAATCCTCCCCTCCACCGTGCTGGGGAGAGGGGCTCTCAGGAGTCCTGAACTGTCTGTCAAGCCCATCCCAGGTTACCTTGTTCTCAGATTTTCTTGTGTTTTTCAAACTTTGTTTTTGTTTTGTTTTAGTTTGATTTGGTTTTTCACCCCAAAAGAAAACATAATAAAGTTGAGTCTAGTGGCAGCTCAGAGTGGAGGCTCCAGGCCAGGAGAGGCCATGCAGCTGCCCAGGGCATAGAGACCTACCCCAGTTGAGCCCTTCTGCTTTTTGGGAGTTCCTTTAAAGCTGCTGCCATGCCTGCTAGGTAAGGGAAGGTTTCTAAAGCGATTATTTGACTCAAAAACTCACTTAGTTAAACCGAAAGTGGAGCTCAGAAACAGCCCCTCAGCCTCTCCTCCTTCTATCTGCCAGCTAGAACAGACAGCGTCCTGGGGGCACTGTGATGCCGGCAGGGACAAGCCACCCCAGGGCATCAGAGGGGTGCTGCCCTCACGCTAGGTCTCCCTGACACATCACAAGCACACACTTCTCTAAAGTTCAATGATGTCAAGATAGCGGACTTGCCTGAGCCCATTCCAGACTGCACTCGGGGACAGGTCACTACATACACAACGTCCCACGGGGGTCACCAGGTCCACATAGTAAAGCATATATTTTCCATCAGCTGGGACACCCTAACAGAGGCACAGGCGTCCCTAATTTGTGCACGGCGGAGTCTGCAGAAAGCATGGAACACAGGGAATAAGGACACCAGGTGAACTTGCTGCCCTTTGTCCACCCAGTGGAGACTAACAGGGACAGGGCCACGGCGGTCACTTTCCCGGTGTTGGGTGGGCTGTGCCACAAGCCAGATCGCCAGGCTGCACGCCAACTTTTTCTTCCTTTTTTGAACGTTTCTTGCTTTCTCCGGGCGTTGACATAATTAATGAGGGCTGCCGCCCTATTTTTCTGCGTGCGGACCCTGGTGTGTGCCACTGTGTGGCACAGGGCCTGACTGGTGGTGGCTGGGGGCGGGGGGGCGCTCTTGGCTTGGGCTCTCGGGGGTGGCCGCAGGTCATGCTGACTGGTCGCGCGCGCGGGCCACCAGGAGCAGCACCGGGAAGACAGGGCGACGGGGTAACGAAGGGACTGTCGCTTCCAAACCCTCATTCGCACATCCATGCGTTAGGCAAAGGCCAGGGGGGCAGATGCGACGCTGGAAATTGTCACCTACCAGGGGCCTGGGGAAGAGGAGCAGAGGGGAATGGAAGGGGACCTTGCGGGAGATGTCCACACATTTAAGCGCGGGCCTCCTGGGAGAACTCAGGGATTCCCTCCCCCACCCCAACCCCGGGGCTGTAAAGGTAACCTCGATGCGGTAGTGAGCCGGGCTGGACTGCCTCCCGACCTCTCCGCACTTTGGGCAGAGCAAACACGGCTCCCGCATGCCACCCGCCAGACAGGAATGAAAGGGCGCTCGGGGCGGCAGTTGAGCCGGGGTTTGGGTGGCTCCCGTCTGGGACTGGGGAAGAGAACGGAGGGGGCTCCAAACCCTGCGGGGACCGGCTTACCCGGCCGTTGCGGTCTGTCTCCTGCACCTCCTCGACGCTCGGACCCCGCTGCACCAGCGCCCGCAGCAGCCCCACGTCGTTGGCGCCGGCGGCGCGCAAGAGAGTCGCCGCCTCCGGGATGCCCTCCCGGATGCTCCCGGCGCCCGGCGCGCCGCACTCCTCCTCGCCTCCGGGAGGGTAGAAGGAATCGTCCGATGCGATGCTGCGGGTGTCCGGCAGACTCGAGAAGTCCTCGAACTGCTCGTAGTCGGCCGGGTTGTCCTCTGTCTGCGCGCCCCGGGGTGGCGTCGGTGACTGCGGGGACAGGCAGCGCGACCCGCCGCCCTCCGGCCCGGGCCCGGCCAGCAGCACCATGCTGGAGGCCCGGGCGCGGGCCGGGGGCTGGGCACGTCTTAGGGGTCCGCGACGAGCGGCGCGCCCCGAGGTCAGTGATCTCTGCCCGCCGCGTTCTCAGAAGAGCAGGAACCGGCGCGCTCCAGCCAGGCGGAAAGCAGCGCCCACGGCTGAGCTCCGGGAGCTAAGTCCCTGGACACTGGAGAAAAGCCCCTCGGGGTGGGAGGAGCCGCAGGGGTTTCCGAGCGGCCGCGGGGCGGGGGGGGGCGGAGAGCTCGGCGGC